AAATGAACAAACAAATGAATGAAATAAATGAATAATTAAACAATTGACAGATGGATGGACAGACAGATGGACAGATAAATCATAATAATATCAAATGTCTCTGTTTTGTAATCAACAGAGAAACTTCTTTAGGTACTTACTAGTTTTGGTTCATAATATTCAGGGATGTATTTTTCACAAATCATTACAAAACACCAAAATGCATCCTAAAATAAATTAAAGAACATTTAAACACTCCCAATCACACATTCAGTAATAATCTCTGACCATTCATGGTGTACTTCATTATTGTGCATAACATGAATAAGTATACACATAGCCTTGTGATCCCTCAAAACTGTGGACTAGCATTTCCCCATACCTCTATACACCCTTCTCATAATGGCTGATGAATGCACGGAAACGAGGTCACCCAGTCATCTTGCAAGGTTGARCCAAGCAGCTCATTCAAAATAAAGGCTGTTAGTGCTAATTCAGATCAAAACAAAGGTCATTTTTTCATACTTTTCTTCTTTAAAGTCATTTCATGTAATGTTATATCTTTTATCATGAAATAATGACTGGGTGACCTCGTTTTCATGCACTTGTCAGCCATTATGAGAAGGGTGTATTCACTTTAATAATAAAAAATAATAATGAGAATAATAATAATAATAATAATATTTATTTGATATATCGCTTTTGACTAATAGCTCAAACGCGCTTTACATCCAATCAATGAAAAAAAGAAAAAATAACACTAAAAAAATCCTAACCGATACAAAAAAAGAAGTATATTTCAGAGTCAGGCCAGGGGTGGTTTGATGGTTGAAAGGATCACCATCCTCCCCCCACCAAGCCCCTCCACCTTTGTAGGAGTACAGAATGATTTTTAGCACTATTTTAGTTTTTCAACTACTGAGAGTATTGTTGCACTATGATAATACAAGATTGGATGATGGCTCATAAATAATTCAATCACTAACCTCTAATGTCATATGCATTAGGAGTACAGCTGCAACTGGAGCCATTGCCTAGCAGAAATATAGCAAATGTTTTGCAAACTTTTCAATTTTTTTCAAACATCAAACTTTCATCAATCTATATTCCATATGTAACAAAATCAGTGTTTAAATGTTTCATTTCAAATTTTCAACCTTTAACTCTTATTTTTGTTCCTGAAACAAGCTCTGGATTGATCTAAGTCAGAGCATGGCTAACTTTGTACAAGCACCTTTTCTGTTATGTTCAGGAAACAGGATCTCAAGAGTTTGAAATTCCTTTTAGAGAGATTGCAAGGGYGGATCCAGGATTTTGTTCAGGGGGGTGCTGCACACAAAGTTAACACAGGGAGGGGTGCACCCCTTAGAATCAAAGGGAAAAAACAGCATTTGGTTATCTTCGAAGTAGGGACACAAGGTCGAACCAGGGAGGGGTGCCCACCCCCTGCACCCCTCCCCTGGATCCACCCCTGGATTGGACTATTACATGTGTAGTTTCACTAACCTGACAATATCCAGTTTTTGGGTTATATATTGAATATGCTTTCAACATTCGAAACAAGTCTGATTGCCTGGGAAAATGAAAAATGGGAGAAATGGGAAATGAAAAAAGAATTAAACTAATTAAACCGAAATGGAATTGTCAAAATGAAATTATCTAACATTCTTAATTACAAAATACATATGGTTATCTATATTCTAATAATAAATTATGACCTCAGGTAGTCTGGCTCTATAAAACCTTTTTTTTTATAATATGAAGCTTTTTCTTATGGTTTGTGATTATGAAAATGGAGATAACTTGCTATTTCTTGGTATTTACTGAGAATAGTGGGCTACTAGTCTGTGATTCGTAAAAATTGTCTCTAGGCTAGAAAAATGTGCAAACTACTATCCATTGCTCAAAATGGAAAAAAATTGTAGCCTGCCATAGCAGATAAAGGAGGTCATTCCAGTAAATTTTTTCCAACCATTCTATTATTCATTTGGTATTCCATCGTCATTTTTGCCTGCCAAACCTGAAATTTGTCCTGTCATTTGGCCACTGGCAGGCCACTATTTTGAGCCCTGAATGGGCCAGTAGCTGTTCATTAATTTGTAATAGTTTTAAAAAAGATGAAGTACTGTGAATGATGGGTGAATATGATGGGTTATGTATACTAACCCTTGTCCTTGATTATCAGAAAACATTCCATGGTAGGGAAACGTTCGGCACAGATCTTTCTTAATGTCATTTTCCCACTCTGGTGAACTTGCAGCATCTAGTCTCTAAGGTAGGAATATATATTCCACAATTAGTAGATATAAGGATTTAATCAAACAGCCTTTGGCGAACTCTTGGATACTAGTTGCACTTTTTGGAGATTGGGCTCCCTGTGTCATTGTTATGCCTGTTGACATTCGAAGGATTCAAAGTATTTCGCTCGATTTCATACTTTTTTTAAATACTCAACTTAGCTGGTAAAATCAGTAATAGTTCTTTTATTTTATTTTCCTTTCAACACCTAGTTTTTTGTTATTTTGTTGAGTTTGGAAGCGAATTCTGTGATGAATTAATGGTCTGAACTTCAATTACAAGAGACGGCTTCGACTTCGATGGAGTCAACTGAGTCGAGTATAGAGTATAATTGGAAGAAGATCTATTTGCAAACGCTTTCTCTCAAAACTGAATATACAAGATAATCRGCCGTTTATGATACAATCGGGGCGATCAACAAAAAGCGTTGCGTTATGCGTGAGGTTGATTTACATTACTACTTTATATCTTGACCTTCAAGGGTCACGGCTCCTACATTTTTAACATGAAACTATATTTTGATAGAAATTCATTTAGAAATGCTATTTATTTTGTCTTCATCCAAGTCTGTAAATTACTGATTATTTATTGGAGCAGATTCTTGTTATACCTTCGCACATTTCAACATTCAAGAACATTATTGCTTTGGCTGTTTGTAATGTGCAGYGATCAAACTACTTTTCATTCAGAAAGGCTTAATATTTGAATGACAAAACTGGCCGAACTTCCTTCAAAAATCCAATGGAATTGTTCTTTTTTTCRTCTTTTTCTATTTTTTTCTACGATCTACATCTACATTGATTATTTTCTTAAGACGTCACTCAGTAAATACAACTGTTCATATCAGTAATAAAACTTCGCTCGATCGAGCTTATAAGATTTTTTTGCGAAATACCGTCGTGACTTTGAGCTGTCTCTATGGAGAATAAAGTCCTCTAGAGCTTGAAATCAGACTTTCTCCTCGGGTTCTAATTAAAATAGCTTTTTTCGATATATAGCCGGCTCGATCTACGAGGTCTTCAGAAAAATCGAAATGTCGACTTTGTACATAAGTGTTTTTGTTTACTTTTAAATGCATCAGGAAAAAAGGTCTAACTCATTGAAATTTTATTTCAGGCGTTAATTGTATAATTTTACTTCAACTTGCATCTTTCCTCGAGTCTTTTAATATCAATAATCCGAAGAAAAAACTATGTGCGAGACTGCRCATGCACAGTGGGACCCCATGGCGTTCACAAGTGCTAGAAACTATCCCACATGGATCATCAGTATTCCATTTCCTCATATAAAATATCAAAGTAATCTATAGTGTATAACAGCTTTGTGCCTGTTAGTGTCRTGTAACGTTCGTAATCAGATGACGTAAGACGATTGGTAATCGTTTAAATATCGATCTGCTAACATCTTAGTGAGTGAGTGAGTGAGCGAGTGAGTGAGTGACACATTTGCATATTCAGACCCCTCACAATAACTCATTTCTGCACTTCACATATCCAYGAGTTAAAAATAACTTCATTTATGGAGTGATTGAAACATATTGGGAGTGCACTGCCCAGAAAACCTCAAAACAAGGAAAAAACCTAACAAACTTTGTTCACGTGTGATGCTAACTGCAGGAATCCAACCTGAGACCCCAGAGGTGAGAGACCTTGAATCAGGGGAGAGACCTAACAAGCTAAGCCTAGTAATTGAACCTGAGACCCCAGAGGTGAGAGACCTTGAATCAGGGGAGAGACCTAACAAGCTAAGCCTAGTAATCTAACCTGAGACCCTAGAGGTGAGAGACCTTGAATCAGGGGAGAGACCTAACAAGCTAAGCCTAGTAATCAAACCAGAGACCCTAGAGGTGAGAGACCTTGAATCAAGGAAGAGATCCAACAAGCAAAGCCTAGTAATCAAACCAGAGACCCTAGAGGTGAGAGACCTTGAATCAAGGAAGAGACCCAACAAGCTAAGCCTAGTAATAGAACCTGAGACCCCAGAGGTGAGAGACCTTGAATCAAGGAAGAGACCCAACAAGCTAAGCCTAGTAATAGAACCTGAGACCCCAGAGGTGAGAGACCTTGAATCANCCCCAGAGGTGAGAGACCTTGAATCAAGGAAGAGACCCAACAAGCTAAGCCTAGTAATAGAACCTGAGACCCCAGAGGTGAGAGACCTTGAATCAGGGGAGAAACCTGATGCCAAGGCAGGAAATTGAATTTCCTGTGACCCCAGAGGTGAAAAGCATTTGGTTCATTTGCATCAAGGGATTTTGTCAGGCTTCGATGAGATAAGAGTTGTTGAAATGTACAAAATGTCATGGGTAATTACTAACATCAAACACTCCTTGGTTTTCTTTTGCCTTTTCATTGCTTCCTGACAATTGTTGCCATGCTTGTCCTCTAACAGAAGGTGGGATTCCCTTACGACACCTTTCTTTGACCTGAATGCATAATCAAAAGTCTTCAATTCAGTATTGTTGTCATACAGTCATTTGCAACTAAACGTGAACACCAGACACTAAAACATTTCTAACTGGCGGCCAAAATGTTAAACGTCGCGCCCAAGCGTCCAACAAATCATTACAAAACATACATTTTCCGGTTGACTAACTTCAACGTTTCGGCCGCCAGTTAGAACATGTTTTAGTGTCTGGCATTCATGCTTAGTTGCAAACGACTGTACGTACTACAGTTATGGTACATAGTCATACTTTATTACATAATAATGTTTTTTATCCCCAGTCTTAAATGTCCATCCAATTTGATATTTCTTTAATAATTGACAAGATTTTGAAAGACAAATTTTTGCATCATAATATTTTTCATTTTCTAGTAGGGATATATTTATATTTAAGGTTTCTTTATGTGCATAATCTTCCTCTATGGTTACGCTGGCTTCTCATGTAATCAATTTTGTCATTTTTTCAATCATATCACCCTATTCCCTGATGATGGATCTAAGATCTGAAAGCTCAGGAAATAATCAATATATGTAGATGAAACAACAACTGAATATTTAATGTATTTATACTTCACCTTTTTGAATTTTTTCGATACCCATTTATCCCAGTGTTTTAACATTTCAATCCATTTCAGCTCTCGTTCACGTAACACTTCAACAGGTAATGTTGTCTCCCTTAAAGAACAATGCCAAAGAATAAAAAGATAAAAAAATAGTATTTAAGCTCTAATTTGATACAAAGAGCAAATAAAATTATATTCTAAAGTAAATTCCATAAAAATTCCAGGGATTCAAAACGATTTTTAGTTGGGGGACAAGATRAAACTTAGGTTGTAATCAGACAACTGCCCCCTCCCCACCACCCACACATCCCTACTTTCAACATTCCTGTTTCACTTTTCTTGAATAAGGTCAATCTGAATCAGAGCATAATATATGACAATACAAACTTAAGAATTACACCGGATCACATTTGCCCAATTAAAAGGACAAAATATTTTCAAAACGTCTGCTAACTGTCAAAAAAATTTATTGCTCTCATAAAGCTGTGACCACTCTATCAGTATCAAATAGCCTTATCAAACTCTAGCATTAATATTAAATTGCTAGGCACTCAGGTGTGAACATAGATAATATATACAGGTACACAACAACTCGACATTTAAAAGTATTTATTGCATGCTAACCTCGTTCCTAAAAAGATTAATATCTTAGAGATACAAGAAAAATGAACCAGTTGGATTATATGTCTTTAAATTAATAAGTCTCTTACTTCCTGGAATTAAACAGCATTTTTTTTGTGATGAAGAATTAAAATGAATAAGTTTAGAGCTGAACTGCTGAATTTTATTTATCCAAAATATGATGCAGTAGAATTGGAACATTTATTGTCACAATAAGAATTATGTACGAAATTAAATTAAGTTAAAAAATTAAATATTTTTTGTAAAAAAGATTTATCCAATGTTATGTTAAATGTACACGAACGACTTTGAAATGACACGAGTAAATGTAAACTATAAACCAGTAGAAACGTTCCCTAATTTGTTAAATATTTGAACAGTATGTAGATGGATGTTTATATACTTACGAGGCTTGTTTATGGTTCCCTACAAACCCATATCTATCGAGTTCAGGTCCACTTGGTTCGTCTTCGTATCGACTGTCAGGATCGATCCGCCTCATAGCGTTCAACCGAACTCCTCGAGGCTCGTAAAATTCCATTTTCGGCTCGAGTTCGCGGTCAAAAATAATAACAATAATCCCTGGTTAATGCATCAAAGAAATGAAGATCTGGTTTCTTGAGTGCCACCGCAAGTCTTGGCTGGTGAGTCTTATTTTTGGGGATGTCTCCATTGAATGTTCAAGAGATGTGCTGTCATCGTCGTCTCAGTTAGGTTCCTTTAGCGCTCACGTTATTTCGATTCCAGCGCTTGCAAAGGAAAATCCGGGCTGTCTAGCTGGGGTTAAGGCTTCGATTGTTATTTGAGACGAGGTTGGAATTGAAGTTGAGTAGTTTTGACCGCAATAAAGCTTTGAAATCCTCTCGCCAGGTACACGTCCCGGCGAAGCAAAACAAAAACAACAAACGACCACCTTCGTCATGAGCCGTCCATGGTGTCTACCGCTGGACTACATCAAATATGGGAAGTGAGAGAAAGAGACGGGAGGGACGGGAGAATTGTAGTTTTTCCCTCTTTTCCACAATTAGCCGTGTCCTCCTCTCTAATCTTGTTAAATTCCCATCCACCAGAGTATGTGGTCTGAGAATTGTCGAAATTATGAAAGATGAAAGTCGAACTTATGTATTTCCAGGCGGATATTTTGAAGGAAAAAACTGACAAAGCAAAGAAAGGATGAAAGAAAGCAAAACGATATACAGACAGACAGACAGACAGACAGACAGACAGACAGACAAACAGACAGACCTAAAGGAAGAAAGTAAAATAACTTTCCACTGATGCACATCTTACTGGCCATTCACATTCCTAACTGCTGTCCAAAGTAGGCCAACGGACTCGTGAAATGGTCATGTGATTATTAGAGCAAAACGCCTATTCGAAACCATTCCTCTTCGTCTTAAAATACGAACATTACTCGCAGTCGCTACGAATATACACCGTTCTCATAATGGCTGACAAGTGCACGAAAACGAGGTCAACCAGTCATTAAATAAAAGTTTACAATAGTTTTTGTGCGCTTGTCAGCCATTATTAGAACGGTGTATACCGGCGCTTTGCATGAAACGTTTTTGAAGCGGCACAGTGAAATCGATTGGAGGACATCAAACAAAAACGTACAAAATGGTACTTTCCAATGTGACGTTAGTTGTATGTACGAATAAACGACTTCCGGCTCCAAAATGAAAAGTATCTTTCCAAAATTTTTCATGCTTTGTGCAAAAAGAAGTATTTAAATTTTTAAGTAATTTGAGTATTCTTAAAAGTGTTAAAAGGAGGTAAATAATTTTCATAGCAGGAAAAAGTTTGTAGTTTTGTTGTTTCTGACGGAGGAGGGTTAAATTCTGATAACAATTTTCTTCGTTTTATTTCAGCGCCGTTTTCAATTATGAGCAATTAGCTCGAGAAGTAGTCAAATGTGGAAGAGAATGGGCGACACAGAAATGATGCGCATTGCACACTTCGTTCTGACACAAGGAGCCCAAGTCAGGTCTAGTGTTACAGTACCCGTAATTGCGATAAAGAGCATAAAATCTAAGGTTCATATTTGCATTTACATCCATTACACAATCTTTAAGCCTACAAACTTTGCTCTCTTTTATTAACATATCGTTTTTTTGTGGTATTTATTACTAAGTGATTATAGGCTATGGGGCTGCGGTGACCCAAAAGTCACTGAAGTCTTCTAAGGCACTATACCAGTAGGTAGTCCATTGTCGCTATTTTACAAGTCAATTTTGTAGTTATAAAATACACGACTACTATTTACAAACTGCATATTTTCCTCTTGCTATCCCAGTCAGTTATTTCAAACACATTTCGATATAATCTTCATGTCAGATATCGACATGCGAGTTGTCTTTGTCAGGTGTGTATTCTTCGTATGCGTGATGAGTGTTGTGAATTGAGTCCGCTAGCCAGCACCACGGAAGAGCCCCTTCGGGAAATTTTCGTTCACCTGTAAGAAGATATTCAAGTACTGAGCCTTTAATGAGTACATGGCGCAACATTTCTATGAATTTTTCGAACAGCAGCAAAAGATTACAATCAAGGTATGACGAAACGCTTTCCTGAACTGACCATTTAGCAAAACATAAATGACAGGGTTACAAAGAGCGTTGAAAAAGGCAAGCCACATAGAAATAAGGTCAAAATACTCGGGTCTTGGACCAGCGTKGCCTATAACTTGCTGAAAACTAGCCACTGCAAAGGGCATCCAACAAATGTAGAAAGCTAAGACAGTAAACAAAAGAATCTTTACTAGTCGCTCTTGTTGTACGACTCTTAGTCGGTTAACAGAGGGCTTGTGAAACTGTGCTTCATCTGCATTTTTGAACTCTACTTTCTTCTCTTCTTTTGATTGTTTTCGCTTTGGATGAATTTGGACGTTTGAGACATCCAAACAAAGTCCTAGGGAGGGTCCTCCTTTTGACTCCTTCGAGATTTTGTGAGCTGAATTAGCTTTCGATGTTGTTCCTTCTTTTAACGGCGATGGATGTTCCTCTGGAATGCTCATCACGAAGACTTTCCTTACGTTTTGACGGGTTGGGGACGTGCTCCGCGCACGGGGCGGACATACCGACTGACTGGAGCTTGCGTCATATGCAATGGAATAACCATCCATATTTGTGTTAGACTGTGGACTTAAGTTCATCCTTTTTCTGTTTTTACTCAATTGTTTTTTGTGGTGTCGGACGAACGTAGATATTTTGTAGTAAGAAAACAATAATATTGTCTGTGGGATGAAAAACACTACCACAAATACAGTAAAGCTGAAACTTTTGTCAGCAGTCCAATCCAAGGTACACGAATAAAAGCTTGGGAAGTACAAATACTTGCCCCATCCTATCAGGGGTAGGGAGCTGAATGTCATTCCCACCAGCCAAATTGACGCTATATAGATCTCCACCCCTTTCCAAAGAGTCGAAATTGACAGTTGCTGTCTCGAGGTGATCATGATGTATCTGAAGACGCTGTATCCTAGCAACGTCAGAAACGTCACATTGGACATAGTGACAATCAAAAAGGCTTGAAACTGGCATAAAGCGTTTCCAAACATGTAGTGTCCATCTCTCATGAAGGTTATGATCCCAAATGGCATACAAAGACATGCGCCCACGACATCTGTGATAGCGAGGTTGACGATGAAGACGTTGCCTGGCAACCGACGTAATGATTTGCACATTGCTACAGAAACGAGCACCAAAGAATTCTCTAGAAACGCAGCAAGGGTGATGAGGATCATGGGTATTGCCTTGGCAACTGATGTCGCGGTCACGTGGCCTTCGTCGACGTCATGGGTGTCGTTCATGACGAATGGTTTTGCCAAGAGGAGTTTCTGTTGAAGAAATTATATGATTACATTTGACGCCTTTCATGTTATTGCCTTTTCCATTTAGAATAAAGCAAACAGGGACTATTCCTTATTTGATCAGCTTATTTGACTGTTGTTCAACTGAAATTATGAATACATGATTTTCACTTCAACATTGCAGATGTCGTTTTGTTCTCGTTGAGGCCTCGCAAAAAAATCTAGAGGGGAATCTATGACTAAAAATATATAAAAACTGCAAAAAATATGCATATTCTATTAAGAAATTTTAAAGACCGTTTTGTGAAGAAATGAAAATGTTACAGCTTGACCATGAATCGAATTGAAACACACACACATTTAGACTAAATTAGGATTGTTGAAATTATGTTATAATTAAACCAAGAATATCGCAATTTTCACCTACGATTTAACTTAAAGAAGTTTCAATTTATATTACCTCTATTTTTAACAGTTGGTCAGTCTTTCAGTCCTAGAAGCTGATATCGATACTGATACTCCCACACTCAGTATTTCCTAAAGAGAAAAAAAAAAGAAAGAAATTTTTCCAAATGAAAAAAAGAGCGCCCTCAGTAGCATTAAATGAAGTTAACGTTGCCTTTAACGAGATTAACGTTTGACAAACTCGTGCTTCGCTCCACACATAAATTATCAAAGTACCTGTCGCAAAAGTGGTCAATTCTTTTACCTCTTAAACTTGTAACGTTCGTGAATAAAGGAATTGATAGAATCAAGCTAGATTCTCGCCTCTAGAAAGTGGCAGACATGTCCAGCGTTTGTGTCTACAGCTTTGAAATCTATTGACTTCAGTGGAGCATTTTACCATTGAATCCTTCTCGTAGATTGATCCWAACATGCCTCGCCCGCGCCTCATTTACTTAACTCAAACACGAGCCTCGCTAGGACGCGCAGGAAATTGACAGTACTGCCATAAATATGTCTTTCAACCAGCATTAAAATAGATTGAACACGGAAAAAATCAACAATCACGCCTTATACTTTTTTACTCTGTGCACGGTACTTTACTCTTGATACTAAGAGGTATTAAGAGGTTGACGGAGCGAGTTTGGTGTTAAAAGAAATTGCAAAAAAACACAAGTTAGACCTTATAAAAAAATCTGTCACTAGCTTCAAAAAAACTCCTTCACTTCTAACTTCTAAAGATAAGTACAACATGACATAGGTCCGATGACATGCGAAATCATAAAAGTCAAGTATATTTATCTAACTCGACATTATTTACTTTTGAATAAAATGGATTTCTTTTTTTCTCACCAACTTATACAAACATGCGTTGCCGCATTCATTGGCAAATGATTTTTAAAGATCAAATAATGCGACTTGAAAATCACGCTTTTCCTTTTTTTTCTTTTTATTCCCAATATTTCATTATTTGTTCCCTTTCATTTCATTATTTATCTTTCCATTTAACAATCAAGCCTCAGTGTCAAAGCCAATGACGTCAGTTCCATTATCGATGGTACAACTTTTCGGGTATCTTTAATGGATATCTATCGGCGAACTCCTTTGAACGCGATCCGCTGCTAGTTTGATTTGATTTTGTTTTTCGTTTTTCTCACTAAATATCATTGAATTGAACGAAAATAGAGCGATATCCTGTTTAGGTACAACAATATCAAACCAGCTGCTACTTTATACACAAAACATGGTATAATTACATGATTATTCAGGTAAAATGATTTGGGAGTTGAGGTTTTGATGCTTCGTTTATCTTATTGAATCTTCCTTGTTGACTGACAAGGTGAAATAGTCCCAATAAAAGATTAATTACTTTTTTTACTTAAGCTAACTTCACCATTCAGCTTATACTGGYATGTTGCGCAACTGCTCAGAACAGTCTTAAAGGCTGAGAAGTCTCACCAAATTCTAATTAAAAGTCATGCTTATACCATTATCAGTTTTCTATTTGACAAATCTAACTCGGTTTGCGGTATCAAAGCGTCAAAACTGAGTAAACTCACATGGCAAAACCATGTGTATTTGCTGTCTTGGGATCAAATTTAGAGCTGGAACCAATGTTGCGGATCAGCTCCGGTTCGCGCGCATCAAGCGCCAGAGAGAGAGAGAGAGAGAGAGAGAGAGAGAGAGAGAAGAGAAAGAATATCCACGCGCGATGTGGATATCATTACTCGACATCCGAGTGCTGATTCTGTTAGTTGTAGCGCGGTACATACCCTGTCTTTACCGGCGAAGCAAGCCAAACGCAAACACAGAGATRGAACTTATATTTTTTTTCAGGCTCGGCGGGTGCCGGGATTTCTTCATCGAAAAAAAACATTCAAAAAAAACTTCCAGACTGCATTATTTTGCGCTTGTGCCTTAAGGTTGTGTAGCTAGTAGTGAAAACTAGTCTACAAAGAGAATTCTGAATCGCACCGCGACAATCATGCATAATTACTCGAATCAGTAAGAAAATCATCCAAATTCATGTTTTTCATAGTTTCAATTCACAGTGAAATAAAAACACCTGATGTTATTTTTAACCATTCAGGAAGTATTACAGGCAATTTTGGGCGACAGACCTCTACGCTTAGATAAAGATGTCCGAGATATATTAGGGAAAATGATAGCAGTCATTAAAAATAAGTCTTCCTTTGTCATAAATACGCATTTTCATTTTAAAAACTTGATTACTTTAAAATTTGAACTCAGGATACGAATTTTGCGTTGCAGTATGTCTACATATTAAAAGAATGAACAAAGAATTTGGTGTCTGCAGAAATCAGGAATCAAATGGGTTTTTCTTTTTCCTTTTCCGAATTTCATGTGTAAAACAGGCTTAATGGTATGCCAGACTGTTTTATCTTGTTTATATGGGGGAAAAATTAAACTTTAATGTCAGTTTATTGAAATTCTCATAATCCAAATTAATAGCTGAAATATTTGCCTTTTTGCTTGTACACCTAAAAGTTAATCAAAATAATAAAACCATTTGGGACAGTCGGTACAATAAATCAGTGAAGCTTATCAAAGGGATTTTCCTTGAGTCAATAACGTCTTAAAATTACTTGGGAAGAGAATGCTTTCCTCAAACATGGGATGTGAGGTGTATGTTTAAGTTGCTTGGTGTTTAAAATGTCGTTAGTAATTCATTAGTTAAAAGTTATGCACGCGTCGACACGTTGAACATCTTCATCGCTAGAACAGGATTAACGACGTTCAGTTGGTTGTTGAAGGGAGCATCCAGTTTTCATTCAAAATAAGCTTCATTAAACGTTATTTGTCCTTAATTTTTTTAGCTAGTGTCGAAACAGGAAACAATCTCTAGGCTGATCAAAGTAAGAGTACGCGCGTCTAACTCTCACAGATCGAATTGAAATTGAAATTTAATGGGAGGAATCGAGTTAAAACCGAAGAAAACCTTCACATTTTATCAAATTACTTTGGAAAGGGTTCTCAGTGACCTCTTTCTTGCAAACAAGTATTTATTATTGGAGAAATCAAACAGTACCCTTCTATATAAAGAGTTGTGAGGCGACCAATACAGRTCCTGGGCGAAGATTTTTTGGGAAGAAATAAATGGGTTAAATCGCCGAAACTCAAGTTTCATATAAAATTTAAATATAAAGTTTTCGGGTGACGCGAAGTAAGGTTTCAAACTGCATTAGATTGCTCGTTTTGAATGACATTCAAGATTGAATATTGTGGGGTGAAGATACTACCCGATATGGATACCTTGCCTTCTGAAAATAAAAGAATATTTTTGCTACCTTTTTGAACAATGAAGTTGAAAATATTTTCTCACCTGCAAGCTGTCTTGTCTCCAGGTTAAGTGACAGTATCTTACTTGCCTCTTCAACCTTCACAGCCAGTTTGATAATAAACTCATCGATACGACAGGCCTGGTGTGTTGGTAATTCAAATAGTTAGATAACAGTAATGTTGACCAGTCTTTAGGCTATATCTCTGGTTTATTATTGCCTTTTAAGAGGTCTTCATAAATAGGATGGAAGCTGTCAAATTGCATTTGAACTGTCCGTAACAGTCACGTTCTATTCTTCTCGTCGTGTAATTATTTCTTTCGAGGTGTAATGTGGATTTTCTAGGCTACGGAACTAATAAACAAACCAAAAGACAAAAAAAGACAAATTTCAATGTTGAAAAGAAAAGCCAATTATTCTCGGTTTTAATTAAGTTTTTTCCCCAAGCCCGTACAAATCAACGCTTCAACATATTGTGCGAGCGACTCTTCCGGCCCCCCTCGCTGAAGATCAGCGCAAAATCATCTTAAAGATGTTTTACTCAGAGTTTTTTTCGAATAGCACTGCTATTCCTAACTGGCTTTTGCTCCTCTTCTGCAATTATATATTTGTATATATTCATGCAATTAAACACACATCGAAAGCTATTTCGTGGTAAAATACTGAATGCGCAACAAAAGACATGTAGAATATGTACTTATGTAGAAAAGAGCATTGTTAGGAAATGGAAACTCTTCATTTTAGTAATGGTATGAAATGCAAATTTCATTTAATATATTTTATTAAACTTTAAAACAATGTAGCTTTACTCGCGCTATAAATACAGAAAGGAATGGGAAATTGCAGTTGGTTTAATGTGTCTTGCAAAAACAGGTTGCAGAAAGTTTTAAATGACTGTTTCAACGTTTATTTGCAACAATGAGAATAAAAGACGCTGCAAGCTTTTGCTACAATAGAATCTAAGATTGCGATGGCAAAACTGGAATACTTGTATCAGTGTTATTGGCAGTTGCTGAATCATATTAACATTCACAGTTATTTTKTAAATAGATATAAATCGGTCTGGTTTGGAGCTTGCATTTGTTCTAATTCTTTTAGTTCCCTGAGTTGATCTTTTCTTTAAAATTTACAATGAACTTTTCCCTGTAGAGTCTCTCCTCGTTCTCTCGCTTCTTGGGCGGCAGGAAGGATGCCAAATGCAAAATAGGATGGGCCACRAAGAAAAAATAGACTTTGACGAACAGAATTTACACTTTCTAAACTGACCATAGGAAGGACGTCTTCACAAGAATCTAAGTATTGAATGAAGGAAATAATTTGTCGAACTTAATTTCGTAAGCTACGAACCATGTTTCCTACTGATATTTACAGACCTCAAAGGCTTGTATTACGAAGTCGATGTTTCCATATTTTCAGCTAAAGCTATGACATTTCTTGCTTGTAGAACCAACGGCATGTCAATCATACTTCCCTGGAAGGTGATGGCACCCTTTGAACGAAACAGAACAGTTAGAAAAAAGGCACGTACTATTTGCCACTTGTGTATAGTTTTCTATTTGTACAGTAGAACCTCTATAAAGCGACCACAAAATCTWAATTTATCGGCCATAGCTGTCAAAGTCGCAAAGGAGGTTTTTGCGCTAATGTGCCTCTATTTAGCAGCCACTTGACAATCCCCAAGGAAAAAATAAAGACAGAAGTGTGAATGCATTCCTAACATTCATACATATAAGTAATTTGACAAAGCATTGAAATATGTTTCTTATTTTTATAATTTTCCAAAGCAGTCAGTTTCTAAGGCTCAGGTCAAACGTCAAACTTCACATGAGCCGAACCTAATTGATATAATGGGTAACGAGGCGGTCTTCTTTGACGTCATTAGGTTYGTCTCATGCAAAGTTCGATGTTTGACATGAGCCCAACCTGCTTAGCAGTGGATAAAGAGAATGTGTACTAGACTTTTGTGTTGTGGCAACTAAAAGGTAAAGGATGGGGAATCTAAGAAGAAAAAGGAGGGACATTGGCCTGTTGGAAAACTTACCTTGCCTGTCTGTTCTTTCTGTTCAAAAGCATCCAGCAACTCCCTTGCCCATTTGATCTTTTCTTCACTTGGTGAGAAAGCTTTATTGACAATATCTATCTGTCCAGGGTGGATTATCTGTTTACCTAAATGTACGAAAGGAGATATGAAATTTATTTTCGAGTGTTGAAAAGATCTCTCACAAGTGAGCGCAGCGAATGAGTGAGAGATTTTCAACACRAGAAGATAAATTTCGTATCTCCAAGCGCCCATGTAAAATTCTGTTTATTATATAATTATCCATAAAATCAACTTAATAAGCTTTTTATTATTATAAAAAGTTTTTATTTATAAACTATAGCTTAAATACACATGGTAACACATGGTAACACATGTGAAAATATCAGTTTTTCGAAAAGGAGAAATACAGGTATTTTATGGATAATTATATGATAAAAGGAGTTATTAGGTCTTATTAGAGGTAAAACCCCCAGGGGGAGGGGGGTTACTTGCTTTGTCCAAGTGGTAGGGGTGATTGACTGTCCTTTTAGGGTTGTAAATATTTCCTTTGTGAGCCTCTTAGGTGTTTTGACTCAAAATTAATTTACTTAACATACGCATTACAGCTGCAAATACTGGGTTTGGTTCAATAATTTCATACATTTGATATTCATTTACTTTCCTACCAGTAAAGCCCGTTCTTGCTCCTTCTTCTGACTGCCTCTTAAGATCATCCAGGTCTAGAAAAAAGGAGAAATAATTTGCAATTCTTAAAAGGAAGTTAATTTACTCTTCATCATTGTTAAATGGAGCTGGTGGATCTGGGCATTTTTACTTTTGACCATTTGTTTAAATTTAATGACTTTGTCACTATGCAAATATGCCAGGCACCTGATGTTGGTCAGCAGCATATCATATTTAATCATTTAAACGCCATCCCTGATGAAATGCCGCCCTACAATAAGTSCTGCACCTAAGACCAAAACCATCATAAAGCACCATTCCTTGAATAAGGGCTGCCTCCAAAAAAGCATCCCCTTTATCCATACAAAAAAATAAACCATTGGTATTTTGTAGTTTTTAAACCTTTGTATTCACTTTGAATTAAATCATGGGTTACACAGTATGTATGTGGTAAACATATTTTTTTCAAATGAGCGCCACCCTTGAATAAATGCTGCCCCAAATATAAATCCTGAATTTTACAAGAAGACTGGCGATTTTTTGCTTATAATACACTCAATAAAATTGACCAACTTAATTGGAACTCTGCAGAGTAAAATTTGGTATTTAATTATTGATCCTCTTGTCCATTCCAGTAATTTTGTTGAGTGTATTATAAGTACTATAACTAAGTTTGAATGTTTTGTGATCTAGGGAAAGGAAATTTAATATTTTTGTAAATTCAAAATTTTATAAGGAAAATATTGATAGTATGATGCAATACTAAGCCCACTTGCAATATATTCTTTGTAAAATTTAGAATTTTCAAAAATATTTTTTCCTTTCATGTTATAACACAAAACTTTCAAACTTTGACTATTGTCATAAATTGATGTGCTCTTTCTAATTATGAATCTTTTATGAGAGCTGGTTTGTTGGTCAGGTTATAACGTTCAAACTTGGCTATTGTATCATAATTTGAGGTGACACTTTCTGACTATATGGTCCTGCAAGAAGGAGTATTATAAAAAGTCTAATTTATTTATTTACTGATACAAACCTTTGTAGTCAATATGAACCAAATCAATAGCTTGCAGTCCATAGGCCTTTGCATGAACGACAACAGCTTGCCGAGCATAAATCAATTCCTTGGCATCTTTTGTTCTTGTTCCTCCAATACTGACCAGAAAGTCATCTGAGCCAAATATGATGGCATGAAGAATGAATGGTCTGTCATTACTTGTACCATAAATGCAAACATCTCTTAGGTTGAGTAGGCTTATTGCACTTTCAGCTTGTGTAATAAGACCAATTTTTTCTGTTCTTTCTTTCATTAGTGTACTGATTTGGTTACTTATCTAAAAAATAAATATTATTAAGGCATGGATGGAAGGAGTGATGGACTTGAATAATCAATATTCAATAATCAATGGATGGATGGGTGGATGGATGGATGGATGGATGGATGGATGGATTGATGGATGGATGGGTGGATGGAAGGATGGATGGATGGAAGAATGAAGGGAGAGAGGGAGGAAGGGATGGATGCATGGATGGATG